ATGTTCTTTCTTTCTTTCTTTCTTTCTTTCTTTCTTTCTTTCTTTCTTTCTTTCTTTTCCGGCTACTTTTTCTTCATCACCTTCTCTTCCCATTTTTTCTTTTTCTTTTTCCTTTGTTTTTTTTTTGCTTCTTTTACTAGAAACCATGGACTTTTCAATCTCCCCACCCCAGTCACTCACCGACCCCCAGCAATAGTGTAGTTCTTTACTTTTCATACAGTTTTTTCTTGATATATTTTCATTCAATTTTTTATAGACTACTTTGTTGTATTCATGTTCTTTTTCCTTTACAATTATTTCTTTCTTTTTCGTACACTCCTTTTTTTTCTTTTTCTTTTTGCAGAATACTTTCATTTATATATCTTCTTTTTTTCATTACAATTTTTGTTTGTTTGTTTCTTTCTTTCTACACAAGTTTCAATCTTCTTTCTTTATTTGCTTTTATCAACGTTTCAGTCTTCTTTCTTTCTACCTACGTTCTTTCTTTCTATATAAGTTTCAGTCTTCTTTCTTTCTTTTTTATCAACGTTTCAGTCTTCTTTCTTTCTTTCTTTCTACCTATGTTCTTTCTTTATACACAAGTTTCAGTCTTCTTTCTTTCTTTTTATCAACGTTTCAGTCTCTTTCTTTCTACCCACGTTCTTCCTTTCTTTCTTTCTTTCTTTCTTTCTTTCTTTCTACACAAGTTTCAGTCTTCTTTCTTTCTTTCGTTTTATCAACGTTTCAGTCTTCTTTCTTTCTTTCTTTCTACACAAGTTTCAGTCTTCTTTCTTTCTTTTTTTCTTTCTTTCTTTCTTTCTTTCTTTCTTTCTTTCTTTCTTTCTTTCTTTCTTTTGTACAATTCTCTCCTATTTATGTACTTCTTTCTTCTTTAGTTTTTTTCCATCATTTTTGCAGAATACTTTGTTTTATAGATGTTCTTTTTTGCTATATAATTTTTCGTTCATTCATTCATTCATTCTCTCTTTCTTTCTTAAATTCTTTCTTTATTTAATTTTTCTTGTTTCTTTCTTGATTTTCTACACTGATTTATTTATTTCTTCCATTGTTTTTGGCTATTCATATCTAATGTCTATAGGCTCCCCGTCACCGCCGAAATGAGTCACAGAGCCGACTTCAGTAGACTTTTATCAGTGGGTTCGATTCTCATTTGCTCCTTCATAAAAAAAATCCGACATTAAACATAAAATTGAATCGAACAGCTTCTTTTTTTTTTTTTTTTAATCGAAATCACTCCAGAAAGGCAGTAAAGCCACTAAGATGCAAGGGGTTACTGGGTGTAAGAGAATTAGAAAATACAAACATTATTAAGAAGCAAGAACAACTGAAGAGTAATCAAGAAGACAGAAGATAACGTTTGACATTGCATTTAAATTGTTGAAGATCAAAGTTGGCTGGTGAGCAAGATGCCGTAAGAGAGTTCCACAAGTGATAAGTGCGAGAAAAGAAACTGTTAGCATAGAACTTACGGGTACACCTAAACAATTCAATTGTAAGTTGACAAAAACTTGTTGCCAATCTAGTAATACGCTTAAATTCATTAAGTCTAGGTACCATAGCGAAGAGACTTCCGAACAAAACCATGTAAGTATTTATAGAAAAGGGCACAGGGAAACAGGTTTACGGGGTGGGGAAGTGCCTGGAGCCTAGATGCTAGATCAGGGCCAATAATATTGCTGATTTGTCTTTGGATTTTATCAAGATTCTTTAAATATATAGCAGGAGAACCGGACCATATGTGGCAGCAATATTCGAGTCATGGGCGAATTGTAGACTTATAGAATCTATTTAGAATCAGGAGAAAAAAATTGTCTAGCCCGATATAGAGAATCAAATTTCCTAGCAGTAGATTTAGCAATGGATTTAATATGGTATTCCCACTTCATGTCAGCCACGAATGTTAGCCCGAAAAGGTGCAACGAGCCACTCTCTTGGAGGTTAGCATCAGCCATACTGATGGAAGATAAAACTGATATCTCAGATGATTAATAGAGAGCAGTTTTGTTTTGGAGGCTTTTAGGCTATACGTTTTGGCAGACTTTAGGCTACCTCCTACGTAGGGCTTTTAAGCCTTCAACCTTTTATCTTCAGCGTTCTATGTACGTAAAAGTTAAAAGCATTTAGAAATAATAAAATTATTTTATCTTTATTCGACACTTTAATTCGGCATAATCTTTCTTCGTATACGCAACCGATATCTGTAGTTTGTTTACATTTTGCGTGCATTTCTTTTTTAAATCACCATTCTTTATGATCCCTCCACATAAAATTACCCTTAAAAGACATTAGGGAACACGAGCTATGTAATATTTTGAATACGCTGCAGTTAGAAAAAGAAAAAAGAATCATATGAGCAACATACTGTGCCTCAGTATCTGTTTATATTTCTGAAATGAGATATTATATACATTAATTACATTTATCTTTGTCGCCATATTTATTAGAACGTTTCGGCCGTTGTACCCTCCAGCCTTCTTCAGGTGGTTGGAATGTCGAACTGAACCCTTTATTTCGCTCACTGAGGTAGACTGTTCTAGTTCCACGTGCCATGTTTAATGGATGTCAGTTAATTTCCCCCTGAAAGTTCTCCACTGCTTTAACCGGATATTGAACTCACACTCTTTGGGTCCTGTCACTGGATCTAACTAACGCCTTTATCCACTGTGCCACGTGTTCTTGAGCTTACAATGGCCGAAACGTTGTAATAAATATGGCGTCAAAGATGAGGACAATAGTCCGAATAATGTAAATAAAGTATATAATACCTCATCTCAGAAATATAGACAGATACCGCAAGGCCGAAACGTTGTAATAAATATGGCGACAAAGATGAGGAAAATAGTCCGAATAATGTAAATAATGTACATAATACCTAATCTCAGAAATATAGACAGATACTGAAGTGCTGAAACGTTGTAATAAATATGGCGACAGAGATGAGGACAATAGTCCGAATAATGTAAATCGTGTACATAATACCTCATCTCAGAAATATAGACAGATACCGAAAGGCCGAAACGTTGTAATAAATATGTCGACAAACATGAGGACAATAGTCCAAATAATGTAAATAGTGTACATAATACCTCATCTCAGAAATATAGACAGATACTGAAAGGCCGAAACGTTGTAATAAATATGGCATCAAAGATGAGGACAATAGTCCAAATAATGTAAATAATATATTGTGTCCCGTTTTAATTATGGTTTAATTAGACGATATCAATTTCAATTGCGACGAAAAGCGAAATTAACTTCAAAATTAAATAAAGAATTGTTTTTTTTTAACCTTTCACTCTGTTCGATATTTAAATTTAACTTTAAATGATTTTTTTTACTTAATTTTTAATTAATATATATATATACACTTTAGCATCCAGAATATTTCTGGTATATTATCTGTTACTTCATGACACGTGACGCGTATCTAACCAATAAGAAATAACCAAACACAACATACCATTAATCTGCGTCTCTGCTTTTTAGCATTTTTTTCTCATTTCTATCTTGATCTATGATGATGTTTTAATAAATTGAAACATGTTAGATTAAAATCTGTTTCCTACTTGTTCTTTATGCTATCATTTTGTCGGATTCTTATCCATACTCCCTCTCCCTCTCTCTCTCTATATATGTGTGTGTGTGTGTGTGTGTGTGTGTGCAGCCTTTGAATCAGATTTATGTGTATTTTTGACCTCTTATACACATATCACTATATACACCAGCACAAGCTCTAGATAATAATTAAGTTAATTAATTATTAATTTTCAGCCAATTTCTCATCACTTAGCCTCATTAAGGCTAATTAGTAAGGGAAGCCAACTTCAGTCAAATATGCAGCCAACTTGGTTTACGCTAATCAACATTCTTATAGAATGAAGACGTTATTTCTTTTTGTAGGTGTTCATCTGAGTATTATAGCTTCTTCTTTTATGAGCTGAGCGTTACAATTCAGGATGTGGACGATCATGGCTCTCCACAACTTCCTATCCTCCATAGTTCTTAGCAATGTTTATCTTTTTGCCGTCCCTACCAGGTTCTCTTCTATTATTTATTTGCACAAGCTGTTCCTATATATCTCTCCGAACATCAGCATGTCCTGTGAAATATCCAGTCCCTCTTTCCTTATTATTTATATCTATCTATCTATCTATCTATCTATCTATCTATCTATCTATCTATCTATCTAAGCCTGTCAATTATCTATCTATCTATCTATCTATCTATCTATCTATCTATCTATCTATCTATCTAAGCCTGTCAATTATCTATCTATCTATCTATCTATCTATCTATCTATCTATCTATATATCTATCTAAGCCTGTTAATTATCTATCTATCTATCTATCTATCTATCTATCTATCTATCTATCTATCTATCTATCTATTCTGTTCGTGCGCTATTTGTAATACATAGAATTAATTTAAGTAAATGCTTTTTTTTTTTTTTAACTAAACAGTATTAATTACTTTTACCAACCTGAATGTTCAAGAAATTTCGTAGAAAATCTGTGCTTTTCCGACAGGCATCGAACCTGTAACTCCAAAAGGAAAAATCATTTTATCTGACGTGCTGTTAACCATTCAGCCACAAAGAAGGCCGGTGAATTTTAATTGATATTGTTTATTTAAAAAACAACAACACACCATTTACTTAAATAAATTGATTAAAAATAACGTATAAACAGAAAATATATTAAATAATTATCGGACTTAATAGATTTCATAACACATACAAATATATATATATATATATATATATATATATATATATATATATATATATATATATATATATATATGCGTGTACGTGTTTCATTAAAGACGACAGACAATGTACAGCGATTTATCTTTTGATTTAATTTTTCTTGTGTTCGAGCAAGAGCTTTCTTTTTGGGACATAGAGTGTGTAGAAACTGTCCAAATTTTCTGTAATTCTGAGAGCTTTCGGCTATACTTTCAACCATTATCAAGGATGATTTGATTTTTGATTTTTAATTGTGTGTATGCGTTGTGTGTATGTTTTTAGAGTTATAGTAATGTTTTATTTTCCGAACACAGTTAGCACATTGTGGCCGTGTTCGTAGTTAATATTATTAAGTGTTTATATTATTATTATTATTATTATTATTATTAAGGCTTCTATTATTCTTAATCTTTTTTACGTGTGGATGAGTTTTTTTATTTTTGTATTTTCTACTAGTAATTTTCGGATGGAGTCTGGCAGGTTTTTTGTGTGTTTAAATGGGTTCTAATGGAGCTTTCTACACTGTGTGTCCAGAAAAGAAAACTCAAGAAAAATTACATAAAAAGCTTAATCGCAATAGCTTTTCTGTCGTCTTTAATGAAACATGTATAAATGAAGAATTTCTGTCTAAATACACAATATATATATATATATATATATATATATATATATATATATATATATATATATATAAGAGACAGAATATATGGTGTAAACTCCACAGTTCATAGCATTTACATTTTCGAAAAAATTCTCAATACAAAGTAGAGCAAAATATTATTATTATATTTTTATTATAATCTCTTATAATAAAAATATTTTACATCTCTACACAAAAGCTTTCATGTTTCAATATTATGACTGTACTTCGTCAGACGATGGTGGATAATTTGTGATAAAAAATTATTTATTTGGGAATTTTGAAAAAAACATATCGTTACTTCTTTTCGGAAGATAAAAGCGGCATAAGGTCAGAATTAAAAATATACTTTTGGGTATGTCCCGATTAACCAATTAAATTTCAGATCTACGATAAAAAAAAATAAAAAATAAGCTCAGTGAGTGGAGGTAGGTGGGTTATTTTTTCCTGTCACGATAATCTACCTCCCAGATGTCTCAGCCAACGATTGTATAAAACATGTCAACGACAAATGTATTATGGATGTAGCCAAGTATGATGTTCTGATTTGGTGAAGTAGATATAAAGTTATCAGAAACAAATGAAGCTTCTTAAAGGAGCCAACAGATAAAATTCAAAATTTGAGACATCTGTTTACGAGGCTAATTATACTGAATAGACGGCAAAAGATTGCAATATTAAAGTTGAATAAATCAAATAAATAAAATACTCCTATTGGGTAGACCATTATATGCTAATAAAATAATGGCTATAAACTTTTACTATAAAACTACAATACATATCAATTCGGCATTTTATCTCCTTTGAAGTAGTCCTCTTCTGAAGTCGCATACTTTATCCAGCGTCGTTCTTTTTTCTTTTCTTTTTTAATTAGATTGGCATTAGTAAAATCAAAGTTCTTCCCAGTTTTGTTCCTGTGTATTATAAAAGAGTTTGAATGGTCGTCTAAATGTAAATCTCTTTTGTGATCGTATATACAGGCTTTTAGATCACGTGATGTCTCCCCTATATAACTATATATGCATCTAGAATTTTTATACACTTATATAACAATGCATATAACAATATTTGTGGTTTTCCGTTAATTTCTTGAAACTTCAGATGAGCGTCTTCATCATCATCATCATCATCAAAACTGTATCGATTTGAGGTCATGAATTAACATATTCTCTCATCTTCAGTGACATTGTATACTGATTCGATAATATTTCGTCAGCCTTCTCTGTCCCCTGCGAGTTTGCGCATTCGTTGCAGACCTTCCTTGATTGTAAACTTCTCCAAAGGAAAATTGGGATCTTTCTGTCTTGTTCTTTGAATGCCTCAGTTCAGCATTGTGATTATGGTGGTTCTTGGATGACCTCTGAACTTTTTGAAGTCAGTCTTTTCAAAGTAAAACTCCATGGATTTGTTAGCTGGACATTCTGGATCCATTCTGTTTGTTGAAATTCGTATGTTTTTTTTTTCTTGAACAGTGAGCTGTATTACAGACACACGGTCTGATACTTTCCAACATCGATGTACATTATTCCTCGACTTACTCTTGACAACAAATCCGTTTCCATAATATTTGCATTCTGTCTCTAAACATATCAGCTGGTGTTTGTTTTCGCCAATGTTACTGTTCAGATCAGGTTCAATTTTTCATTTAACGAATATTGTCTTCCTCAGTATGCAACATCTTAAATAATTACTACTACGCAGTAATTGGAGCAGCCATTACTTACACCGTCAATCTCTCCTTGAATGCCAAACGATACAAATTATATTGACGCTATTTTAAAAAAAAGTCCGATGCACGTGATACAGGTTTGACCAATGAAAATCAAACAACACAAAAGCAAAAAAGAAAAAAAGAAAAAGAAAACAACAGAATTTCTTTCATTTTTTTTCTTCATGTCTCAGTCGCGGACGAAGTTTTAATATAAATGGAAAATCTTAGATTGATAAACGTTTCTTATTTGTTCTTTATCTTATCATTCTGTCAAATAGAGTGTGCTAATAAAGGTACAAAATGAATAAAAAAAACAAGAGGAAAAACTATTCTTAGTCGACGCGCTTCGTAATCTGAGGGACTTTATCATTACATATGACATTGGCTTGATAAACTCCCTCGGAAGACGAACGGCGTTGGCTAAGAGTTTGCCCTCTTCTCTTTTTATTCACATATATTATTGTAGCATATCTACGGACGATAATGGGTATGTCCCCATTCACATAAATATAATGGTGAATACCGTATGTAGGTCTTCAGATTTGTCTCCAGCGGTGCTGGTCAAACTCTCTACCTCCAGGCAGAGAGGAATACCCAGACGAGGCTATATCGAAGGGCAGTCTCGGGAAACAGCTACCCGACCCCACTTTATACGTGGTATACGGGGAATTTTTGACCGAGCTTAAAAGCTCAGATATCCCACATCAAATTATGCCTTCTGCTACATATGACCGCATGGGGAGGTTCGTAGATATCCTGCAGATGGAGATTCATTGTGGAATTCACTTGACGCACTTCTAGCAGTTGACTTCTACGCGCCGCTGGCGAATCTTATATGCGTTGTTCGTGTCCTAAGTATTATCGTGCATTACCAACCTTCGTGTGATTATTCTATTCAGTAACTTTCCGTAGGTAACACACACACACACACACACACACACACACACACACACACACACACACACACACACACACACACACACACACATTTATATATATGTGCGTGTATATAATATATATATATATATATATATAAAAGTGAACATAGAAGTCAACACTTAGAGGCGACAGTCTGTTTCATGCTATATGCAATCGTCAGGCCACATATGCTGTTATTTTTCTCGGCTATTTATATATATACGGGTTAGTGGTGCATTGTGGGTATTCTATTATGGCGGTTATTTTTTACCGGAAGTCGCTTTGTTTATTTATTTGGGTCAAATTATATTGCTCGTTTTTATTTTTTTGTTTCTTATTTTATTTATTTATTTCTTAACGTAGTAAAAATTTGTTTATATCACGTATTTAACAGTTTTGTTTTGGTTTGAGAATTTAATTCAAGCTATTTGTTCAATTTTGGGGTTGGTTGCTGTAGTTCATTCTAACTATTATTTTTTTTGCGGGAACAGTTTTTAATTTGGGATTGGTTTGTCTATTTACTTGGATGAATTTAGGTCAATTTATTTGTATATTTTTCTTTCGAAAAGAAAAATATACAAATAAATTTACCTAAATTCCCATAAATATAGCACACCTTAAGACTATATTTCTTTATATATATATATATATATATATATATATATATATATATGTAACAGAAAAACGTCTAAATCGTGTAGAAGCATGGGATAATTGTCCATCCACAAGATGTTTAATATCTAAAATCACTAAACTGAGTTTCTTTTTGTTCCAGGTTTTCATATAGAACGTTTAGACATTTTTATAACACTATTGTGTACTACTTTAAGCAATAAGAATGTATAATTGCTCTCCCAGCAGAGGAATCATGATGAAATAACATCATCATCATTAATCATAGCTAAGGATCGGAAGCTCATGAAGGATTGTTATCAAATTCAAAATATATATATATATATATATATATATATATATATATATATATATATATTTATTCTAGGATCATTTCCAAATTTATTCAAGATGATCTTCACCCTCTCTAGCCTTCTACCTTTCTGTCCTGGAGTAACGAGTTGCCTCATAGGTTCACATACCATTTCATTTTCAATTCTTTTTTTCACTATCCTTTGAACTGAAGCTCCTCCCTCACGTGCCAAACGTCTCATGGGTTGAGTTGGATCTTTTCTAAATGATCTCTTTAGCTCGAAGTTGAACTGAGGATCTCTTTTGCTGTTCTGACCTCCTGCTGATCCAGTTTTCCTCTCTAGTGTCCCTCTTTTAAAAACTTATTCACCTTTCTCTTGGTGATTCTTGAATAAACTTTGAAGATGGAAACCAGAGTATGAATGTTGGTACCATTAGTGAAGGTCTGAAT